CCTACACAGTAAGTGATTCTGTAGAATTATATTTTATAGAATAAATATATGAGTATTGATTATAGAAAATTAAATAGCACATATATCAGAAATATCTTTGATTAAAGTGATATTTTTAGATATATTCTGTAAAAACGAATACATTTTTTTTAGGCGCAAAATCCCGACGAGCTTTCCATCGTGGAAAGCGAACAATTGGATGTGGTAGGCGAAGGCGACGGTGATGGATGGTTAAAAGCAAGAAATTACCGAGGAGAAGAAGGTTTCGTTCCTCAGAACTATCTCGATGTAGAAAGGGAGCCCGAGACCACCACCGGTCTTACTTCGCAAGGTCCAAGTCTGGTCCAGCAGATTTCCTTCTCATCCGTTGACTATACCATTGACGATCACGACGCCGTCGACCCCGATGCTACTTTGCAAAGTGCCGCTTCGGAAGCCATAATACAAAACCACGTTGGAGGTACATTGGAAAATTCAATTTATTTATAACTTTTATTTGTTTCAACAGGATCTCAAATTTTAAATATTCAGAAATGATAAATAGCATGATATGCATATTATTTTATAGAAATGGAACAATATTGCATCGCGCTTTACGATTACGACGCAACGTGCGATGAGGAGCTAAGCTTTTTAGAAGGCGACATCGTCAAAGTATTAAAAAAAGAACCACACGATGTAGACGACGGTTGGTGGGAAGGTGAGTTGAGAGGTCAGCGAGGCCTCTTCCCCTCTCTCGTCGTGGAACCTTGCGGTCTGGACGGATGTCCTCTGACCCCACAGGTGAGAAATTGTATACATACATAAATACATGTGATACACACACACACATACACACACACACACACACACACACGCACACACACACACACATACACACAGGGTGTCCCAAAATTCGCGCATTCGGAGTACAAAACATGATATTTTATGCTAAAACAACTTTTTCTTTTAGCATATATAAATTAATCCTTTGAGAACGGAAACTTTTTAACAAAAAAATATTGTTTTTTTTTTAAAGAATTTTCAGGGTCGCTGAAAATCAATTCTGAATTTCAAAATTCTAAAATTCAAGTTAATAAAAATAATTTGATTAATGTGAAAGTTGCTTTTAGGAGATTTTTAGTATCGCTAACAATGAGTTTGAAAATATAGAATTTTAAAAAAGTAATAAGGAGAATTTAGCGTCATAGGGCTCATAATTAAAGTTTAGAAGCCAGTTTAGCAATCATCAATATTAATTAAATAATAATGCAATAAATAAAAGGACTAATGAAAGCCAGATGCAGGTAATGTATATAACACAGTTTTAACCAATAGGAAATAAAACCCATAACGGTTGAAACTAGATCTTTAGTGCTTAAATGATTCCACGTGAATTTATATACGTATAAGTCATTTGAACTGCGCGTTGAATTAATTTTTTGCACTTGGAAACGCAACTAAATTATTATAATAATATCACAATTAAATTTGATCATCAATTTATTAAAGAAATCTTAACTAGGAATCTGTAAATAAATTTATTTATTGCAAAAAATATTATCTCGGCCGGGAGTTGAACTCGATCTCTTGCATTCCGTGCGAATATCCTAAGCCTTTAGACCACAGAGGCACTCACAGTTTCGGCTTAGGACACTCGTATGGAATGCAAGAGATTCGGATTCAACTCTTGACCGAGATAATATTTTTCGAAATAAAATAAATTTATTTACAGATTTTATATTAAAATCTCTTTAATAAACGCCTATTGATGATCAAATTTAATTACAAATTTCTAGCATACTAACAAAAACAATTACCCAGATGTCCAATTAGTTTTGAAAAAGTAACAATTATAATATCGTACCTCCCGTTAAAAAAAAAACTAAAATATGTGCCATTCGCTCGGAAAATTTGATATTCGTTAGAAAAATGGATTCAAAGTCTGCTATATAAGCGACTCCGAAAATAAGTTCTAACATTTTTTCGTAACTTTCTTTTATTTTTTGGGTTTTTTATATGTGCTTAATATATGTAAGTAGAATAGAAAGGAAAACTTGGATCTCAATTCTAATGAGTGTTGAACATATTTTTATCTATCCCTCCCAAAGTTCGAATTGGGCAATGTTTGCATGGTACACTTATAAAATTGTATGAATATATGTATTATACGTATAAAAAAACATATATTTTCTTATTTATTATACATTTTTATTATATTCCTGTTATTTTAATTCATAACATAATTGTTTGATCTACATAACGCAATAAAATTTTATTCTTTAATTATAGTATTATATATTTAATGTATAATAAGTAAGAAAATATATTTTTTTATACGTACATACATTCATACAACTTTATAAATGTACCATATCCAAACGCAATTCGAACTTCGAGAGGGATGAAAAAATGTTCAACACTCACCATTGAATTGAAATCCAAGTTTTCCTTTCTATTCTACTTATATGTATATGATTCACACGCACGTAGAAAAATATAAAAAGTAAAGAAAGGTAACGAAAAAATATCATTTAAACTCATTTTCGGAGCCGTTTGACTGGATCGTCTAGTGGACTTTGAATCTATTTTTCTAACAAATATCAAAATTTTTAAGAATAAAACGTATTGTGTTTTTACTTAGATATGTTTTAATGCTTTAAATAGTACTATAAAAAAATATATTTAAAACATATTAAAAACATCAATTGAGCATGTTTTAAACTGTTTAAAACACGTTTTTTATCAACTCTGTCAAAGTGATAAATTTTTTCTGGAAAAAAAAACAACGAGGTTGAATTTTTGTCTATTTAATTTTGATATTAATTGTCAAAAAATATGATTCCCATACCTTTTGAATGATTACGAAGGCAACTACCCAAACACGTATAATTTTACATGGAATAAGAAAATTGTACACGTTTGAACAGATATGATTGCAGAACGTAGAGCTAAATCATTATTTCGATTGATGATGAATTTTATTTTCACTTTAACACATTATGATTATGTCAATTTCATATTTCAATTCGATATTTCAATTAAATGTTTAAATTGTTGGTTTCAATATTCGGTTAAATATGATAAACGACATTGAAGTTTTTTATCTCTGGACGACAGCTTAACGATGATTCAGCGACAATATATCATACTTTTTATCATGTAATGCAAAGTATTAAATTTAGAATAAAATTTAGATAAATATTCATACACTAAGGATGACCCAAAGGAACCGTCTATAATTTGTTATTTAATATAAGCGTTTCGTTACACATAATCAACTGTATCGGCTCATATCGATATTATTATTTATCTCTGTGAATAAATCAAATAATAATTTATATTTAATTTTGTAACAGAAAAGTGATATATGATTTTTTTTATTATTTCAGGAGAATATAACACCACCGAGTTCCGCGCCACCAGTCTTTACTCCACCAGAAATTGCGCCAGAATTTTTACTAGAAGATGAGTTTGCTCAAATAGACGGTAATTGTACAACTATTTTTATATACATACTTATACGTATTATTTTCATACAGAGTGTCTCAGTAACTATTATCACTTTAAATATCTTCGAATGTATACAATTCAGAAAAAAATTTGTGTAATCAAAGTTACACGGTACAAAAAAGTATACTACTAAATATATGGCGATAATAATTTTTGTTCAGTATCGCGTACAATATTGATTACATAAATTTTCTGAATCTTACAAATTCGAAGATATTTAAAGTAATAATAGTTATTAAGACATTCTGTATATTACTTATATACATAAAATTGAAAGAATATATTTACCCATATAATATATATATTGCATGTGTTTTATAGAATCGCAAGAAGAAAAGCCAATGGTGAATGGTGATAGTGGATTCATGATAAATTTGTCTCAAGACCAAAAGGATCAATACGGTTCACAATTTGGGGACGAGAAGTCGGATGAAACGCCAGGTATATTAGGTGAGCTTCCAAATTAGATTAAAATTCTCGAAATGTGGGCTATGATAATGAGTTGAAATATAGCAGGTATTATTCATTTTAATCTATAAAACATTATGACTTGCTGCACAGTCGTGGAGATATCAGATGAATCGGGTGATAAGGTAAATTAGTATAATGTCAAAGATCTTTTATATAGATATTAAATAATTTATTTAGGCTTATTTTTCTTTTTACAAAAAGCATGCAATTATTTCTATCAAACGATTTAATATATTGATACTATAAATATTTTTTATGTTTTAATAATAAATTCTGCTTTTGCTATCAAAACAAAATTTTATTTTTACATGAAATATTCTATTAATGTAGCAATATGAAATACATGATTCATACATAAAGCTACAGAGAATTACTTTATGTCAAGAATAAAACTATTTGATTCGTAGACGGAAAAGGATCCTAAATCTGGTGAAGATCTCAAATCTGCTAACCAAAAAGATGACTTCGGTCTTGGAGTAGCTCAGATTGTGATTACAGCCGCAACTCCGATGGAAGAGACCGAACATCCTTTCCCTGGAGTAGAAGAAACTCCAGAAGGCTCGGCAAAGTCTGCAGAAGTCTCCGAAACCGAGCCTGAAGCTTCCGAGCCTGCGGCTTCGGATCCGAATGAAAGCGAATGTAAAGAAGAAGAAGAGCCAACAGTTATTTTGGACGAGAAAGAAGCAGAAGAAGCTGAAGAAAAATCTACAATTGATGAACTTCCAGCTGACTCGGCACCGTTTCCAATCAGCAGTAGTTCTGGAAGCGAAGCAGAATCAACATCTGGTCCCAGCACTAACGAAAATTCTCAGTCAAGGGGAACAGTGGTAGAAGTGACAGAAGAAGTCACAGACGTTATGGAAGAAGAGGAAATTGCGCCAGGAAAAATGCTGATAGGAGGAAGAGCCAGCATTCCAGATGAGCTGCAGCCGGACCAACTGGAAAAATTGCAATCGCTCAAGGAATCGAACGCCTAGGGCTGACTAGGCCCCGGGGTCCACAAGGGCAGAATCATCTTGCCTGACGGCCACCCCGACAACTTCCGACACTTGCTAGACTTCTGGAGATCACCTGAGGTGCTAGGCAAAAAAGACTAACTGTAATAAACTCACACTAAGACTCTATCTGAAATTCATAAGGTTCTTATGGTGATCGAGTAGTGGTGGAAATAAAGATGATTGAAATTGTGATTGAACTATTATATCTTTCGAATAATGGATGTTAATAGATCAAGTGCTGAAGATTGTCTAAATTATGGCTAGCATAAAAATTATTTTCGCGTGTCTAAAGCACTTCCAGAATAAAATTTAACTTTAAATCGCAACTGCTTTCAAAATAATATTTATGAAATGTATGTTATTATCTTTATTAACTAGTCAGAATCATAGAAAAAAAAGATTCATTTGTGAAATTACCTTATCACACTGATTTATTAACATCATGAAAGGAAGAAGAATGATTTAGCAAATTAATCGAAAAAAAAATGATTAAGTTAAATGAATAATTTAAAGGTAATAACAGATATTTAAAATCAAGATAGTTACGAAAGATAGAAAAATTAATATACAAGATCACCAAGACTTTATGTAAAACTTTATATAAGGTCACCGAGATTTCTCTTTATGTTGACTGATTAATACAAGATTAGAAACATTATAATTTGTCCTATCTTAGGACAAATTGAGCTTTAATGAGTTGATTAAACTCTTAAGTTAATGAAGCTAATGAAGGGCGTGAAGGGAGAGATTTTCTTTCGTAGGAAATGATGTACAGTGAAACGGGATAATAGAAAGAATTGTCGATACCTGTGTACTATAAAAGACATACATTTCAAAGGAATTACACTGGTGTTGCATGTAAAAAGGACTATTCATTCAATGTTCCTCATCTTTCATATGTGTTCATTTTATCCTTTTATCCAACATATTAAAAATCTATAATAAAGCGTATAAAAATTTATACGTCAAAAAACCAATTTTTTTTCAGTGCATACTACAAAAAAAAATTCAAATGATTTTTAATGTTATGATCGAATATATAGCTGTACTGAGGAAATAAGAATCAAAAATTGTAAATAAAATTAAGATTAATTACAATTCTAAATAATTAAATTGTAATGACACTATAAATTAATGTTGCACGAAAGATTTTATTTTCTTTTATAAATGTTTCGAAATCTCAATATTATTTACAGAATACAGTTTTCATTATATGTATATTCAATAAAATTAAATTAATTTATTGTATGAACTTTTTTGTTAAAAAAAAATATATATATAATAAAATCATCGAGCAATGAATTTCGGGGCTTATTCTGTAACTCTTATACCTGTTTTATAATAGGATAGCAAGTCATAAGCTATAAGAAATTGGTTACTCACAGTTAAATAAGAAAAAAATAATCTTATGATTGGATAATTTCTTACGGTACGATCCTTTGCATCCCTACTGTAGAACAGGCTTTAACGACTACAACGATATCATTATATTGCCATTATGTAGGTTTTGTGTAAAAAAACTGCAACAATTTAAGATTAGCCGAAACTCGAGATGTGAATATTTGGGTAAATATTTGTTACGTGGCAAAAAAACAATGAAAGTTAGTCAAAGATAGTTCGGACGATATTGTTAAAGTCGTTAAAGAATTATTATTTCAATTTATGATTACGTTTCAAGTCGATAAACCGAATCGGCACAGTCTGAATTGATAATTATATTTATGTATTTACATATGCATATTACTGAGACTCGCTTTGACCGAAAAATAGCATTCTTCTCTTTTATTTGTGTTTAAACATTTTTAGTTTATTTCACTCAATATTATGTACAATTGTATATATCATTAGAACACAAAAAATTTTACATGCTAAAAAAAAGGAGAACGTTTACGAAAAAATTTCTGAGGATCCCAAGAATGAAATAAAAGTTTATAGAAAAGTTTAAAGTTTTATTGTATGTGTATACATATATATATATATATGATTTTTCTCAAATTTGATCTCTTTGTGTGTATGTGGGTGTGTATATATGTGTATACAAAAAGAGATCAAGAGATTCGAGAAAAATCTTCGGTACTATAATTTTATCAGTATGAAAAAGTTAATAGTCCTTTAAGATTGCATTCGCAAAGCACCATCCAATCTAATTGTCTCCCCATTTAGTAATGGATTTTCAACGATCTGCTGTGCTAACATGGCATACTCATCAGGATTTCCCAATCTTTGAGGAAACGGTATACTTTTTGCCAAAAAGATTCGTACCTTTTCTGGCAGCGCTTTTAATAATGGAGTATCAAAAAGCCCTGGAGCAATTGTTACGACACGAATTCCATCCTTGGAAAGATCACGAGCGATAGGTAAAGTCATCCCTATATAATAATAAATGATAAAAAAATATAAATTATAGAAAATAAAATGAGGAAAAAAAGAATAAGTTTATTATCAAAATAAAATAGAGGAAAATAATAATAAGCATAAAGGGAATAAGATTACATACAAGATGTTTCCGAATTATAAGTAAAAACTTAGTTGATCAAAACTCAAAACAACCTAAAAAATCTTAAAGCTGTGTATTCATAGTTCGTTCTTATTTCATGACTGTTTTAAGTAATGACTTAAAATGCTACTACGCAATCTTTGATTGGCTTATGACATCTTAAGATTGTATTTTAAAACAATCTCAAATATAAGAATCAGCTATGAATTAGTTCGTTCTTATTATGAATAGTCTATTCTTATTTTAAAGTAATATCTTAAGATGCTAATATGATTCTCTGATTGATTCATGACATTTTTAAGATTGTACTTAAGACAATTCTAAATATAAGACTCAACTATGAATATTGCCCTTAATGAGGATCTTAATCATTTTTTAAATATTTAGCTTCTTTTGCAAGTTGCAGTTTTATTATACAATTATATGTATTGTGGGATAATTGATGACTAATTCTGAAACACTCTTTATAGTATCTAAATAATAAATTATAAAAGAATGAAATAAAAATACATATACCTACGACTGCTCCTTTCGAAGCAGAATAAGCAGCCTGTCCTATTTGACCATCAAAAGCGGCGACACTTGCAGTATTAATAATTACACCTCTTTGACCATCTTGATTAGGAGAATTTTCAAACATTAAACCGGCAGAGAGGCGAATGGCGTTGAAAGTACCAATGGTATTGACTTGGATAATTTTAGCGAAGTCCTCCAGTTTATGAGGAAGTTTTTTATTACTATTATATGTCTTATGGGCTATGGCGATACCAGCGGCGTTGACAAGAACGTCAAGCTTACCAAATCTTTGTTTTGTAAGATCAAGAGCAGCTTGAACATCAGACTCCGAAGTTACCTTGAAGAAAGTTATATAAAGATAATAAGATTAGGAGATGTAGTAGTGTATTTTATAATTTTTAATATTTAACAGAAAGATAATAAGAGATAAGAATATATAATTTATAAAAAAAACAATTATAATTTTTTAAATTTGGATAATTATAATTTGGATAAACATAATTTAACGTTTTAAATCAAGAGACATGGTAATATCTCCATTATATGCGTCCATACTGGGCGCATGTATAACTTTACTTGAATTGTCAAGTTGACCGGAAACATACATTATGATCATATCTAAAATATAATTAAACGGACGAAATTTTTAATAGGCTCAATCGATTGCTTGGGGTCCCATTATATACAGGTATTACACTGCTAGAGATCAAAACTTCTTTCTGATAAATAATCTAATAAAGAACATATTTAAAGATCGTAAAATGTATTCTGTTCCATATTAAGATTATATTTGACAAGAAATTGCACAATTATACATTATAATAATTATATTTAAATTTATACATACATCCATAGGTGCAAACACTGCGTCTTCTCCTAATTCGTCAGCTACAGTTTTACCTTTTGAAACAGGCAAATCACCAATAATTACCTTAGCACCTTGCTTGACAAACCTTTCCACAGTGCCACGTCCTAGCCCAGAAGCACCACCAGTCACTAAAGCTACAGTGCCCTGTAATAAAAAGAAATATTTATCAATTTTTATTACAAATAAATCTCATCAGTTTTAACATATAATTGTAATTGTCAACTTTTACAGTGTCAACTTTTGTCAACTTTTATTTCCAATTCTCACATCTCAGATAAAAAATATATCGAAGAAATTATTCTTTTTGAATATAAATGTCTCATAATCAACAACTTTATTCGAAATGTTTGCTAATTGTTTAATATAGCTTATAAATGCATTCCGATGTTCATTGCCAACAATGAGAATCTATAGTGTGTGTAACATATGCTATGAAGCTTCAAAAGTGTCAATAAATATTGAAACGTATTCTATATAATACATATAAGACATAGGCTGTAAAAATTACACACACACACACACATACACACAAATATATATATAAGGCCTTTCAGAACTTCAGAGACAACTTTAGACTATTCACTTTGTTACAATGACATAAATAAAAAAGTAATTTTTTATATTACTTGTGGAAAAGAATGGAAACACAAAGAAAAAAATGAAAAAGGATACTTTAACAATTTATAGCATTTATATAAAAAATTTCACCTTTCATGTTTTCATTAGGAAAAAAGTTACATGATCGCTATCTAGGGTAACACAATAAAAATACTGCAGTCCATCAGAGATATAAAACAACTTTTTTAAATTGCTATAATAAAAATAAAAGTACGAAAGCGTGTTTTTGAATGATGATCGTACCTTCAACATTTTTGAGCTTCAATTATTCTTCTAAAACAAACGCCGATAATGATTAGCTGTAAATAGCTCTTATCGTGTAACACGAAGATTACACTGGCTCGAACTCGTTTGGAAGGACTTCCGAATACGTGCTATATTTTATACTTTGGATGCAAATAAATTTTAACGATGAGTCAGGAAAAATTATTTTTATGGACTTTGGACCTGAAATAATTTTTCACCGGTATTCATAATCAACTCTTATCATGATATTCATAGTATCTTCTACTAGTTCTACTGAGAAAACTAGTGCAGCCAGTGTTGCCACAATTTTAAAGCTGAATATATCAAATGGACTAAAAAAAATGTACAATTGTATTAACTTTAAAAAAAATTTAGTACAATTGTAAAAAGATTTAAATACATATTTAAATTAAATTTCTTTTTTAAAAATGTTATGGATTATATTAACAAAAATTTTTAGGAAAAAGTTATATAAGTTATATAAGTGATATAAGCTTGCAGTACAGTATAAAAATGTCATAAATCAAATTGCCTTGTATTTTAATGTTTTTTTAAACATTAAAACATTAATAATTTTATATTTGCAAAATCCAACGATAAAGATAAAATAAAAAATAAAACTTCAGAACTTAAAACCAAAAATAAATTTTTTGCAAAACATGAATGTTAATACAGTTATCTCTGGGTAAAATCACACGATAAGACTGCGGAATCATTAAAGCAACCAATCAGCGCTATTCCGCACTTTTTCATCACGCAAGTTTTGTGTGCTATGTTCACATGATGCGTCAAAGATGTATCCATGTGAATATAATTTAAAAATCCGTGAATATAATTTAAAAATTACTAACTTCATGTTAATAATTTGCTTATTAAAATGAAATATAATTGTTCAAATTGTAAAAACAATTATCACTGTTATAGTATTTAATGTTTTACAATTAATATTTATAATCTCATAACAATTTTTTGAACTACTTTATTTACTATCATTTTTCCACATCGTGTGAATATAGCACACAAAACTGGCGTAATAGAAAAGTGCAGAAAAGAACACACTGAAATCACACGTAATGCATCATTATTTTTTTTATCTTGGTATCTATATTTATGCACTCAGATTTTGTCATTTTGCTTCATTCGTTTCGATATTACGCAATTCCATCATATCAATCAGCATCAAATTATTTTAACCTCTCAAAATACGACGGTTTATTATAAGAACAATGACGCATTCTCTATTCCGCACTGTGTGATTTCACCCTAATAGTTTTGCGACAAAAATCGTCACGTGATCTTTTTTGTCGCTGAAACGGCCTGTTTGAGCACCTCGTGAAAATGCACCTTTATATAATTACGGAAAGCGCGTGTGACTAGTAAGGTAGCTGCGAATGCTACAATATCATTTAAAAAAAATTACATATCTATAAATTAGCCTCTAAAAATATTAGCCAAAAATAACTTGAAATAACCGAATTTTTGACCAAAAAATCCGTGATATGAATTGGTAAAAATCACGCATTCTGCATGCTCTTTCATCATGATTCTAACCTGAATAGTCGTCGAATAGTCGTCGAATAGTCGACTCTAACGATTAATATCAGTTTAAAATTAATATCTTGTTTGCGGTTCGCGGGACGAAGTGGAAGTTTTTTCCAGTTTTTTTCGTTTTTGTTTGAAGCAAAAACGCGCTGAATGAGGCTAATTTTATTAATGCTGGTCATCAAGAAGTTCAACTGAATAATTACTCTGAATTGTATCTACGAAAATAGCCGAATTCGCCTGTAATTCTCATCGCGAAATAATTCATGGAATTTATATCTTCATTAAAATTCAATTGTCAAAAGTGTTAAAACGCTCATTGTTTTTTATGACATAACTTTTAATTAAGAACGATATGGAGGAAAAGACGAGCCCTTTCAAAGAAATTGGCTCCAACGATGTTGACACAGAGTCAAAAGTAAATTAACGTTTGCTTTCAATTCATTGGTTCATATTTGTAGCTATATTTGAGGTATGTTCACAGGCAATGCTAAAGAGAAAATTACAAATGAAATCAGAAGCGCTCATGTTGTTAAGCAAGGAAATGGATCAGAGTAGGATAGAACGAGATCAATTCAAACTGATGGCTGAACAAATTCAGGAACGATTTCTACATTTGAAGAAACAGATGTGTGATATGAAAGAACTGAATAGGTATCTAATTCAAGCCTGTAATGACATTACTTCAAGATTATATTTCATAGTTTTTTTTTATTAACTTGTGTAATAAATTACAGTTTCGACGACGATTTTAGAACCTTGGATTTATTAACAGAAGCACGTGAACAAAATAAGTGCCTTAGGTTACAAGTTGAAACATTAAGGCAGAAACTAACAGATGCTGAAGGTGATATTAAAGTGTTACGTACAAATAATAATCGTATACCAATTGAACAGCAGGAAACTCAATTAGCACCAGCTATGCATCAAAGAGAAGAGATGATAGAGCAATTAGAGAAATTAAATTTAAAGGTAAGCTAGAATTAAAGAAGCACGACCAATGTTAAGAATTGATTGACTATTGTAATGGCTAATCATGAGACTGACTCATTGGCTGCATTCAAAAAATTGATTAGTAAGTGTTCAGTAATTTTTTAATATGATTGATTCTTATATTTGGTTTCTATCCAGCAAAGAAGTAAAGACAAGAATCAGTCATATTAAAGAATCATTAAGTGCTCATCGATTAGTTTTCTATGCTGAAAGCCAATAATATTATAAATAATTACCAAATAAGTAATTCTACGTTGACAGTTTTTATATATAAGTTTGAATATTTTATTTGTATATATAATGATATATTTATGTATGTATGTATTTATTTTTGCACATAAAAAATTTTTTTAACGAGAAAGCCTTATCCAGCTTTATATCAAATCGATCTGCTTTTTGATATAAATTTATATATACATATATCTACAATACTTTCATATAAATTTATGTATACAGTTCTATAAATTTTTAAAAATAATTTTCTTTGAAGCATAATTTTAAACCGAAATTGAAATAGTAATATTACAAATTATATTGAGCAATTCAATAATATTGATGCTTAATTTATACTAATATACTATTAGGTTGGAATTAATTCGTAGCGTTTTTTAATGAAAGAATGTTATTTATTTCACATGAGCATTAAAAAATACATTAATGAAAGTACTTCCCATCACTTGTAAAACGCTACGAATTAATTCCAACACCTAATAATATACTAATATACTAATATACTAATTAATGTAAAGAAATATTTGTTAAAGGTATGTGAAATAAAACCACTAAAATCTAGTTCAGACCAATAAATTTTGACTTAGATCTTCAGAGAAGATTGATCAATAAGCACTTATTTTTTTAGCATTGTCTGCAAATAATCTTTTTCATTACATAGTTGTATTCATTAGTTGCATATAGATATATAACTAATTAATGAATATATGACTAATGTATATAGAGTATAATGAAATATATTTTTGATTATTTTTTAAATTTTTCTTTTATTGATAAGGGGTATTTTCATAATCAGTTTACAAACGACGCCATTTCCGTAGAACTTGTTACCATTTCTCTAGTTCTTATTACAATACTGACAACGTACCAGTTATGCTTTTCTGATTATCTAAGACTGTAGAAGTACTGAGCAGTTATTATTTCTATTTTTTTAGTTTGGTATTTTATTTCTTATTATTGTTTTTGAAACAAGGTAAAATTAAGCGAATTTATTATTAAATTACATTTATAACTTCATTGGGGGGTCAACACTTAGTGACATTATTCACCTTTGTAATTTTTCAAGAATCATAATTAAAAAACTGTAAAGAACTGTAATAAGCTTTCTTATGAAAGGTAGGATTCTGAAATTTTCTGATTTCATAAATTATTTTTTTATTCTAGTGAAATGTTTGATTTTTCATCACACTTTCTTTATTTTCATAGTTGATTCACTTGATTTAAGAAGTAATAAATGTTGATATTTCTGTATTAATGCACAATCTTTTATTTATTATTGATTTATCTTATGTTTACACTATCAGTCATTTATCATTAATTTCTTGAATTGATTTATGTTTTAACAAAGAAAGAACTGCCATTTAACGAAATTAATTTCTTCCATAGTGTTCACAGTTGCAAACAGATCTACAAACAGTATTGGATGAGAAACATGAGCTGAAGATTGAAAGGGATGCTTTCAAATGTAAGGCACATCGTTTGAATCATGAACTGTCTAAAGCTTTGAATGCAACCAAACCAGTTGATTTGGATGCTCTTATCAATGAAAATAGGTAATCAAAAATGTGTAACTGTCGTTTTTTAATAAATAATTTAGATTCTATCTCTTATTTTCCTATTTTTCTATTCTCCTATCTCACAGAGATATTATGGGTTTTATATAATAAGTCATATAACAATACCGAACTATCATTAAAAGTTACAGAATCAAGATATTAATTCTATATTGCAAATATTCTAGATATCTGCAAGAAAGACTGCAGCAATTGCTTGAGGAGAAAGAGCTCACACGTCAATCTCTATCAAAGTATAAGTAAAAATACTGCAGTCCATCAGAGATATAAAACAACTTTTTTAAATTGCTATAATAAAAATAAAAGTACGAAAGCGTGTTTTTGAATGATGATCGTACCTTCAACATTTTTGAGCTTCAATTATTCTTCTAAAACAAACGCCGATAATGATTAGCTGTAAATAGCTCTTATCGTGTAACACGAAGATTACACTGGCTCGAACTCGTTTGGAAGGACTTCCGAATACGTGCTATATTTTATACTTTGGATGCAAATAAATTTTAACGATGAGTCAGGAAAAATTATTTTTATGGACTTTGGACCTGAAATAATTTTTCACCGGTATTCATAATCAACTCTTATCATGATATTCATAGTATCTTCTACTAGTTCTACTGAGAAAACTAGTGCAGCCAGTGTTGCCACAATTTTAAAGCTGAATATATCAAATGGACTAAAAAAAATGTACAATTGTATTAACTTTAAAAAAAATTTAGTACAATTGTAAAAAGATTTAAATACATATTTAAATTAAATTTCTTTTTTAAAAATGTTATGGATTATATTAACAAAAATTTTTAGGAAAAAGTTATATAAGTTATATAAGTGATATAAGCTTGCAGTACAGTATAAAAATGTCATAAATCAAATTGCCTTGTATTTTAATGTTTTTTTAAACATTAAAACATTAATAATTTTATATTTGCAAAATCCAACGATAAAGATAAAATAAAAAATAAAACTTCAGAACTTAAAACCAAAAATAAATTTTTTGCAAAACATGAATGTTAATACAGTTATCTCTGGGTAAAATCACACGATAAGACTGCGGAATCATTAAAGCAACCAATCAGCGCTATTCCGCACTTTTTCATCACGCAAGTTTTGTGTGCTATGTTCACATGATGCGTCAAAGATGTATCCATGTGAATATAATTTAAAAATCCGTGAATATAATTTAAAAATTACTAACTTCATGTTAATAATTTGCTTATTAAAATGAAATATAATTATTCAAATTGTAAAAACAATTATCACTGTTATAGTATTTAATGTTTTACAATTAATATTTATAATCTCATAACAATTTTTTGAACTACTTTATTTACTATCATTTTTCCACATCGTGTGAATATAGCACACAAAACTGGCGTAATAGAAAAGTGCAGAAAAGAACACACTGAAATCACACGTAATGCATCATTATTTTTTTTATCTTGGTATCTATATTTATGCACTCAGATTTTGTCATTTTGCTTCATTCGTTTCGATATTACGCAATTCCATCATATCAATCAGCATCAAATTATTTTAACCTCTCAAAATACGACGGTTTATTATAAGAACAATGACGCATTCTCTATTCCGCACTGTGTGATTTCACCCTAATAGTTTTGCGACAAAAATCGTCACGTGATCTTTTTTGTCGCTGAAACGGCCTGTTTGAGCACCTCGTGAAAATGCACCTTTATATAATTACGGAAAGCGCGTGTGACTAGTAAGGTAGCTGCGAATGCTACAATATCATTTAAAAAAAATTACATATCTATAAATTAGCCTCTAAAAATATTAGCCAAAAATAACTTGAAATAACCGAATTTTTGACCAAAAAATCCGTGATATGAATTGGTAAAAATCACGCATTCTGCATGCTCTTTCATCATGATTCTAACCTGAATAGTCGTCGAATAGTCGTCGAATAGTCGACTCTAACGATTAATATCAGTTTAAAATTAATATCTTGTTTGCGGTTCGCGGGACGAAGTGGAAGTTTTTTCCAGTTTTTTTCGTTTTTGTTTGAAGCAAAAACGCGCTGAATGAGGCTAATTTTATTAATGCTGGTCATCAAGAAGTTCAACTGAATAATTACTCTGAATTGTATCTACGAAAATAGCCGAATTCGCCTGTAATTCTCATCGCGAAATAATTCATGGAATTTATATCTTCATTAAAATTCAATTGTCAAAAGTGTTAAAACGCTCATTGTTTTTTATGACATAACTTTTAATTAAGAACGATATGGAGGAAAAGACGAGCCCTTTCAAAGAAATTGGCTCCAACGATGTTGACACAGAGTCAAAAGTAAATTAACGTTTGCTTTCAATTCATTGGTTCATATTTGTAGCTATATTTGAGGTATGTTCACAGGCAATGCTAAAGAGAAAATTACAAATGAAATCAGAAGCGCTCATGTTGTTAAGCAAGGAAATGGATCAGAGTAGGATAGAACGAGATCAATTCAAACTGATGGCTGAACAAATTCAGGAACGATTTCTACATTTGAAGAAACAGATGTGTGATATGAAAGAACTGAATAGGTATCTAATTCAAGCCTGTAATGACATTACTTCAAGATTATATTTCATAGTTTTTTTTTATTAACTTGTGTAATAAATTACAGTTTCGACGACGATTTTAGAACCTTGGATTTATTAACAGAAGCACGTGAACAAAATAAGTGCCTTAGGTTACAAGTTGAAACATTAAGGCAGAAACTAACAGATGCTGAAGGTGATATTAAAGTGTTACGTACAAATAATAATCGTATACCAATTGAACAGCAGGAAACTCAATTAGCACCAGCTATGCATCAAAGAGAAGAGATGATAGAGCAATTAGAGAAATTAAATTTAAAGGTAAGCTAGAATTAAAGAAGCACGACCAATGTTAAGAATTGATTGACTATTGTAATGGCTAATCATGAGACTGACTCATTGGCTGCATTCAAAAAATTGATTAGTAAGTGTTCAGTAATTTTTTAATATGATTGATTCTTATATTTGGTTTCTATCCAGCAAAGAAGTAAAGACAAGAATCAGTCATATTAAAGAATCATTAAGTGCTCATCGATTAGTTTTCTATGCTGAAAGCCAATAATATTATAAATAATTACCAAATAAGTAATTCTACGTTGACAGTTTTTATATATAAGTTTGAATATTTTATTTGTATATATAATGATATATTTATGTATGTATGTATTTATTTTTGCACATAAAAAATTTTTTTAACGAGAAAGCCTTATCCAGCTTTATATCAAATCGATCTGCTTTTTGATATAAATTTATATATACATATATCTACAATACTTTCATATAAATTTATGTATACAGTTCTATAAATTTTTAAAAATAATTTTCTTTGAAGCATAATTTTAAACCGAAATTGAAATAGTAATATTACAAATTATATTGAGCAATTCAATAATATTGATGCTTAATTTATACTAATATACTATTAGGTTGGAATTAATTCGTAGCGTTTTTTAATGAAAGAATGTTATTTATTTCACATGAGCATTAAAAAATACATTAATGAAAGTACTTCCCATCACTTGTAAAACGCTACGAATTAATTCCAACACCTAATAATATACTAATATACTAATATACTAATATACTAATTAATGTAAAGAAATATTTGTTAAAGGTATGTGAAATAAAACCACTAAAATCTAGTTCAGACCAATAAATTTTGACTTAGATCTTCAGAGAAGATTGATCAATAAGCACTTATTTTTTTAGCATTGTCTGCAAATAATCTTTTTCATTACATAGTTGTATTCATTAGTTGCATATAGATATATAACTAATTAATGAATATATGACTAATGTATATAGAGTATAATGAAATATATTTTTGATTATTTTTTAAATTTTTCTTTTATTGATAAGGGGTATTTTCATAATCAGTTTACAAACGACGCCATTTCCGTAGAACTTGTTACCATTTCTCTAGTTCTTATTACAATACTGACAACGTACCAGTTATGCTTTTCTGATTATCTAAGACTGTAGAAGTACTGAGCAGTTATTATTTCTATTTTTTTAGTTTGGTATTTTATTTCTTATTATTGTTTTTGAAACAAGGTAAAATTAAGCGAATTTATTATTAAATTACATTTATAACTTCATTGGGGGGTCAACACTTAGTGACATTATTCACCTTTGTAATTTTTCAAGAATCATAATTAAAAAACTGTAAAGAACTGTAATAAGCTTTCTTATGAAAGGTAGGATTCTGAAATTTTCTGATTTCATAAATTATTTTTTTATTCTAGTGAAATGTTTGATTTTTCATCACACTTTCTTTATTTTCATAGTTGATTCACTTGATTTAAGAAGTAATAAATGTTGATATTTCTGTATTAATGCACAATCTTTTATTTATTATTGATTTATCTTATGTTTACACTATCAGTCATTTATCATTAATTTCTTGAATTGATTTATGTTTTAACAAAGAAAGAACTGCCATTTAACGAAATTAATTTCTTCCATAGTGTTCACAGTTGCAAACAGATCTACAAACAGTATTGGATGAGAAACATGAGCTGAAGATTGAAAGGGATGCTTTCAAATGTAAGGCACATCGTTTGAATCATGAACTGTCTAAAGCTTTGAATGCAACCAAACCAGTTGATTTGGATGCTCTTATCAATGAAAATAGGTAATCAAAAATGTGTAACTGTCGTTTTTTAATAAATAATTTAGATTCTATCTCTTATTTTCCTATTTTTCTATTCTCCTATCTCACAGAGATATTATGGGTTTTATATAATAAGTCATATAACAATACCGAACTATCATTAAAAGTTACAGAATCAAGATATTAATTCTATATTGCAAATATTCTAGATATCTGCAAGAAAGACTGCAGCAATTGCTTGAGGAGAAAGAGCTCACACGTCAATCTCTATCAAAGTATAAGGTAGATTGATAATGAATTGAAGTTATTACGCATTCCTTTTTTGTAATTATATTTTATATCAGATAATTAATTTTTTTTGTAGAGTATGCTAGATAGTAAAAGGGCTAAAGGAACTATCAAGTTGGGAGTAAATTCTGCAGTTGGAACAGTGATGACTCACAAGCAAGGTAAAATACAATATATACGTTGCAACAGCACAAGCGTGGTATAATTTTCGTCGTATGTTTGTGTCTTAGTTTTTTTGTAAACTATAATAACGTTAATATAATCACAAAAACGTGCTTGAGTGCCAAGCACGAGGGAGTGTACTATTCTTTCTTAGAATTTACCATTAACTTCAATGTTTTCTCCTAAACAGAATCATGAAGTCGCGACAATTTCGATAGTCGACAGCTCAGCCACGAAATTGGCAGAAAGACAATTCGGTATAGAGTTTAAGTATGTTCAAGGAGATGTTATTATAGGTTTTCTACAATAAGCTAGTTATTATCTAAGCTTTAAGTTTTAAGGAAATGCTAGAGCAATGACTGAAATTGATTGAATTTAACTTTTTTATTTTTTTTAATATAACTTTTTAATTTTAAAACTTAGTTTCTTACGTTATTGTTTTGTGTCACGCGTACATTTGTTTTTATATAATATATTACAGCGTCTCTCTATTTCGATCGAGTACGAACACACAATTATGCTCTTTGCTAAATATATGTTATTTAGGGAGGGAGTCCTATTTGCCTACAAAACTATTATTACCTACAATTTCGTTTGCACATGATCATATTGCGTTACAGCATATGGCATGATCAAATTACGCACAGTGCATTACGCACAGTGCACTACACACAAGAGTTTGTGCAAACAAAACTATAGGCAATCGTTTTATAGGCAAACCGAGCCTTCTTGTTTATTTAAGTATCAAATTCTCGAGATTCATTGAATGCTTATACTACCTATATGAATTATAAAATTTTTATATGAAGCAAACTTTAATCTCAGGTGATAACTATACTAGTCAAAAAAGTAAGTGAATTTTTAAAATTTTTTCTTGATTTTCTTGTGGAATCGATACCGACCCGGACTTTTTATCTATGCATATTTTAATTCTGTAAACAAATTTTGCAACCATAAAATTAATTTGAAGATTTTTTGGTTACACTGTAATTCATAATAATTGACGTCGCTCTAACATTCCGTAAGAAATTGATTAATCATAGTCGATTTTTTTTCTCACATTTGACTGTGACTGATCAATTTTTTACATTGGCTTACAATCCTTATAATCTTTTCTGCAATCACAAATGATAACAGATTATGTTTACTGATTTGCTACAAATGGGAAACATACTTTGTTATCATTAGTTCTGTTAGCAAACTTGCATCAAATACGCTCCTAGATAACTAAATCCTATCGAAAATAAATCTTCTAAAATCTTGCTCTTTTACAAATTTTTTTTTTATAAATAAAAATATGTTATCAAGATCAAGAGGCTCCTTTAAACTTTTATCATAAAAATGAAAAATGGAATACTCTTCAAAGATTGATTTTATCCCTTTACAGGATGAATTTGGGCAGCAAAAAAAACTGTTTATTATATATCAGGATATCTTCTATACTTTATCGAAGTTTCATAATTTTGTTTATTTTTGAGTTTGGGACCTTCCCAATTGTCCGAATGATTCGATGATGTTTATTAGACAATTGCACTAATCAGAAAACATTGAATTTTTGGGAAACAAGGCAATTTTGGAAAATGAAATAAGAAATAAATTTCTCTAATATCTTATACTTATAAGAACATTATAAGAATGTCCGTCAAAAATTTTGGACCATCTAAAAAAAAAGAATTATGAAGAATTCGAAATGATTAAGATTAAAATTGATACAATGGAGTTGTAAAATCTATCATTTAATCTCAAAAACCACCTATCTTAATATCTTAGGGAGAGGCGGGAGGCGAAGGGTGCGAGAAAATCTTAAATAGCATGTTGAATCGAGTGAGAACTCGTTAGAAAGGGTTTTCAGAGAATAACTCGAAGTGATGTCTATGATGTTTTCACTGAATTATGATCATTTAACAACATTATTATTGAGATTTTGCAATAGCGAGAACTTAGAGCGAGGACGTGAGGAAGATAAGGCTTTGTGTTCCTGAGTAGGATAGGAGACTATGGAATGTGTGTATGTGTTTTGCATACTTATATGTTTTAGTTTTTGTGTAAGCTTCAGATTGAAAACGTGACTGGACTCCGCAATTCGTCAGTCTTGCATCAGTATTTAATGACTACGAATTATTATTCAAATGTTTTTTTGAAATGTATAAATATACGTTACGTCTTTTGTATATTCAATTTTTTTAAATTTAATTTTTTGTTAAGTAACTAAAATGTTTGTTTGATCTGTAACGATAGTGACATGACATAGATGTTTTTCTTGTCAAATTTCAACAATATTCCACATACTTTCTCCGCACTCGAGAATACATGTGTCCGCGCGAAGCCTTATCTTCTTCATGTCCTCGCGGTGGACCTCGTTACATAAAATCTCAATAATAATGTTTAAATGATCATAACTCTGCGAAAAAAATCGTAGAGATATCGAGTCAGATACACTTTACGTTGTTCTTGTCTCGGAAAATTCCTTTCAAATGAGCTCTCACTTGACTCCACATGCCATTTAAGATTTTCCGTCTCTCTCTCTCTCTCTCTCTCTCCCCCCCCCCCTGCTCTCTGAGAGTGTTAAGATGGATATTTTCAGGATTACATGATAGATTTTATGATTCTGTTGTGTGTATTTCTATAAATTTCAATCTTATGTCCTAGTATTTTAAAACTATTTCAGAATTATTTAGTGACTCGAAACTTTTAACGGGCACACTATATAAGCAAGAAAAGATATCTTGAAATATCTCTAAAAGAATAGTACATGATTATTGTAAGCGTTTTATAACTATTCCAATAAGGATAGAATCTTAAAGATAAAGGATTAATCGTATTAATAAAACAAGTATATTGTATTTCATAGGTGTTTACATTATTTTGTCAATCTTTTGTATATGTGAAGATTTATTTATTATTAAATCTTTCACATAAAGAGAAATTTACATATATATTTTTATTTATATTTTTATTTTTTAGTCGAACAGCTTCTTCAAGAAAGTTCTTATATACCGCCTCAGAAATCTGCTGCTGCCGTTACTGATTTACGGTGCCTTTGCACTGCCTTATTAGAGGCTTTAAATGACAAAACTTTAGCTCTGGCTCATCAGAAGAAAGCGAATAAGTAAATAGTTCAACATTGGAGGCATTTATACATTTGTATTTCTATAGATTAACTTGCACACGTTATTTACAGAATATTGGCATTGAGAATTTGTGAATTGGATAGTGCTATACAATCGCCAACGACGAAGCTTTTGGAGGGATACACAAGCATCAATGTTGATTTGAGGTGTACGTATAACTAGACAATTGTAATCTTTGATGTTGCTACTGACATATGTATTATTTAAGGCAGAATGACGGCCGAATTTGATCGATGTGTCGACAGTACAGATTTTTTAAATTCCAAATAAAAAGTCAATAATAGTAACATCTTTAATTCATTTCTTACATTATCATTCTGTCTCACTTAAACGCATACATCTGTCTTTATTTAACATATTGCAATTCCATCTCTTGCAAGATCGAACATCATAGTTCGATAATCTAGTACTAGACATAATTACTGCTTTGTTTATCATTCCGAGTCTTCGCTCAGCATTCGTTTGCACAGATCGATATAAATCTTTTTTTTAAGCTTTTGATCTTTATAATTAGTTTCATAAACTTAGTATTGTTTGTGTAAAATGTTGAACTGTCATTTTATGCATACGAGCTATAAAACCTTTGTATTAAGGAAACATTTACGTCAAGTGATAGCTCTTCGAGTTAAAAAATATAAGCTTTTAAACTTTTTTTCGATTTTAGTATAAAGTTCACTGTCTACTAAAAGGATTTTTTATTTCATTCAGTAAATTCGGAAATTTATATTGATTTGAAATATCCCGACAATTTATAATCACTCCAACAGCCTCTTAATTATTTGTAATAGGTCTATTATACAGAGAGTATTACAGAGCGATCGTATCGGACTAATTTCTTGAAAAATATACATTTTCTTGAAGAAAGATTTTGACGCAGCATGTCAAGATCAAGACCATTGGAGATTGTTTTTCTTATTTTTATTTTTAATATAAAAATGAATTTTTAATGTAAATACAACAATGAGAGGAACAATCTCCAACGGCTTTTATCTTGACACATTGTTGTTATCTTGACATATTGTTAAATCGTAACTGTGAACAACATTTTTTAGCCATAAGGTTTTAGTCATCAGTCGGACGCCTTGTGGAATGCTGATGGTACTGTAATAGTTTCTGCACACAGAATGTGGCAACACTTGTTGCACTGTAGAAGTTATCGCACTAAATAATTCTATGTTCTTAAGTTCTTAAGTTCTTTAGCCTCATCTTGCAAAACTTCTAGAAATAATGTAATACTACTTTTACAGCGCGGCAAAAGTTGGATTGAGTTCAACTTTTGTCGCGATGGAAATTATATATCTAGTACTTCCGAGCAAGTGAAATGTTGATTGGTTATCTCGCCAACTTCTGCTGCGCGACAAGCGTTGCCGCGTTCTGTGTGGAGGAGCCATAACTTTCAAGTCTTATAATTTGGAAAGTTTTTAATGAAAAATAACTTTATTATAGCGTTTTAAAAAGCTCAACTACAAGAATATGTAATAAAAAAATGGTAGTTTTAAAAAATTTCAACATGATTTTTATGTGACTTTGATAATGATATTTAAGATCAAACTCATAATAACATGAAATGCCCCTCAAAATCCTACAATTTTTATCTAAAACATTTTTCAAGAAAATACGTATTTTTCAAGAAATTAGTCTGATACGATTTTTTCAGACTTTTTAAAATAAACTACAAAAATAATAAAAAATAGAGAATCTCTTGAAAAATTTAAAGTAGCCTTACTCTGACCTTGACAATGCCATTCAAATTCAAACTAATGATACTTTCTTATGTCCCCCTTGAAGTCATAAAACTTTTGGAACATTTTTCTGTAAAATGTATTGTTCAAGAGATATTTGAGAATTAAAAATATTGTCATTAAAAATGGACACCTTGTATATACATACATCATGTAGTATATATATATATATATATATACCTATTGTTATATTCTTATAGGTGACAGCGACTTCAATAATTTGGATCATACTAACAGCAGTATACATAATATCGAGGAGAACAATGTTGTAACAAATGAAGATAATATACAATGTAGCTCATCACCTGAAAGTCAAATTATGCAACAATTGCAGTCGATACAAATGAGTCTTCCAAGAAACTTAGGAGTATTGGTTCAAAAGGCATTAAATAATCTAAATGATAAACAGAAGGTATGAGATTAAAAATATGTTGCAAACACACACAAAACAGTGTCCCAGCAAACGAGAATGGATTGGATTGGATAAATACGTATAAATCAAGTTGTCGAATTCGCGTCATCCGCAAAAAAAGTATTGAATTTTGTAGAGACTGAGTACACTGAATACGTTTCTATACGTATAGTATCTAGATAAATATAATAAATATGGACTCTAGTGTATTCATATAGATAGAAATGAAAATATGCTAATTTGCGATCCCAGAAAATGATGTATCGTTGGGAAATACGCACTTAGGTAATAGAAATATGATGCGTTTCTTCCTGACCTTAGTACTATATACATAGAGTATACAAGATTACAGATTTACGTGACTCCCGAATATAACCTGCACTATCGTGACCAGGATTATATCTAAAAATTATCTTGTCGCCGCAATGTTATACACTTTGTATATCGGGGTTCAGGAGGCAAAAAGACTTACATATATTACCTCGGTGCATGCCTTTTAATGATATATTACTTGCTAAAATCGACGACTAGTGGATCACCTTTGTTAGATAATTCTTCAATGCCGCACGTTAAATTGAAACAAATAAGTCACACGTTCATTGCGAACATTAGGTAAGATCAAAGTAAATTAGCAATACGTAATTACTTTGGTAAGACCAAAAGTAAATTAGCAATACGTAATTACGAATTCAACTGGATTAGTCATTTAGCACGTTTCATTTCTATGCACATTGGCCAGAAAGTAAATAACCGTAATTCCGTAATTCCGATTCAAGCGGATTACAGACAGAAAAGTGATTTAAAAACACTCAAACCTTGATTCGACATCGCTTGAATGAATAATTTTTCAATATTTTTTAATAATTTCTCGTTTGTTGGGGTTTCAGCTTTTTGATACAGCTTGTATGCAAGTACAACGGATTAAACTGAGTCAAAAAGTCCTGTATCATTTTGTAATTTTCACAATAGTTAATAAGAAATGATAAAGATTTAGTTGGAGAGAATCGAGGCATCGAGTGGCGGCTTGCTGCTCGGTGCGATTGACTCGCGACTGTAGATCCGGGTTCAATCCCACCTGCGCTTACATATGCGATTTTTCACATTTAAGAAGCCGAAATGATTCTATCTATTGCATGATTAAGCACCTTTAATCTTTGAATACCACACTATTTTCGTCATACATGGGTTACAGTAACCCTGGGATCTTCTTTTGCTTTTATCCCGGGATCTAATGCATCAATTTTAACTTTTTTTTTAATCGATACAACAGACAATAAGGAAAAAGAATATATAGATATAGAAGAATATCATAAAACTTCCGGTAACCTAGATATTTTGAAAAAAAGAAAGAAATTTCAAAATTAAAAAAATCATTGTTTTTTAAATAAATTAGTTATTTTCCAAAGAAATGATACAAGGTTTTAATTTACAGAAATCGAAACATATTAAGTTGTATTTTAAGAAAAAAAATACATTATTACGAATTATCTTAAAAAATATATTTATTCAATAAGGTTGAATTTGGGTGATTTTCAAGTAATACGATAAAATTAGTCTTTATTATGAGCCAGCATTTACATATAATTTGAGTGAGAGGAAAACATTGTTTTTCTATATTCTGATTTGAAACTTTGATAATTCTAAGATAAGAAGGTAAAGGATATTTGTACACATCCACAGCAATAGAAAAAGAAAAACCAATAAAGTATATTTCACCTTGTGCTTCCACAATATTTTGAAGAATTGCAACAGTATTATTACACGTTTTAAAACATGAATCTTTCTCATTACATTGAAATATAATGTTCTTAATATGGATTCTCCTGAACTGAGTCCCATTAATTTCATTGACAATATGCTCTTTACATTTCCAAGAAAGCTCAACTAAATTTTTTCTATTCTCTAATATAACATTAATCTGCTCTTTCTCCAAATCACGAAAAGCCGCTTGTTTCAAAGGTTTGTAACCAGATCGCAATGATGCTTTGATGGATTGTAATTTGTTTTCAAACTGGAATATACTGAACTCATTCAACTTTCTATGAATTTTGCATTCACTGGCAGACACAACGAGTGTACATGGTAAACAACAAATTTCTGTCCATAAATAGCAACGGGGTGGGAAATAAATATCCTTAATAATTCATTAGCATAGTTACAATAGATTTCCATCAAAGATGGAGTGCTCAAAATGTAAATTGCACAGCGGCCTTTATTATATATATATATATATATATATATATATATATATATATATATACTACATGGGTTGAAAAGTCCCGGGATTTTTCAATAGGTGGCGCCATTAGAAAATGAACTGTGGGAATAAGTGACTCAATTGATAAGTCAGATTCTCTAGACAAGTCTACGCTTGTCGTGTGATGTGATATAGGAAATAATGATTGAAACTTTTCTTATAACTGGTAACTAATAATCTTTATTACACGAGCACAAATTAATATGACCGTACAGGATGAACACCTTAATCGATCTGTTGTTATAATTTTTCTTTTCTTATTTTTACGCTGCTAAACAACTCGCTACCTACAAAATCCTTAAGCTTTCTACACTCGCTGCGCTAGTGAGGTATTAAGAATCCTCCACATAGTCCCCCCCGAGTGACAATAAATTTGAACCCTATGCTTAATACTAAGTTAACATAATATTGCTTAAGTGATAGGTCATTTATAATGCCGGCACTTAGATCATATAAAACATATACAACATATCATACAAAATATCTTATAGTGACTATCTAAAGTTAATTAATCATTGATGAAACATTGTTTTTTGATGGGAAAAACTTCTGAACAATCATTGAAATGGTTGCAGAAATGTTCCCACATCTGCTCCTTCGAGAACAACAGTTTATCGGTGGTTTAGTGAATTTAAAATGGGTCGTACAAGCACCGAAGACGCACTTCGCTCTGGAAGGTCAAAAGAGGCTACGAATGCGGAAATCGTAAAGCAAGTGCATCGAATCGTTTTGAGTGATCGTAAAGTGAAGTTGCGCGAGTTAACTGAGGTCGTGGGC